GAGAAAAGGCCCTGCAAGTCTGATGGGGGATTCCAGCTGCATCCAAATAAGGAGAAAGCCCAATCCCAAATTGACCTCGCGAAGTGGCAAGACACCAGTAGGTGAAAACCAATCTCCCCATCTGCTTTACACAGAACACACCACTGAGGTGACAAGCAAGTATTGGGTCTCTTCTTTTGGAGCAGATCACCAGTGTTGATTCTTTCCAGATAGGCTCCCCAACAAAAACTACCAACCCTAGGGGGTATAGCTCTGCACCAAACCTCACCAACCTGACTCCCTTTCTTTGAGCAATAGGAATGTCAAGGTCATCTACAGTAGGAGCAAGGGCATCAATAGATGCAACAAGGCTTGGACTTACCTCCTGGGAGTCTGATGGTGTCGGTTGCTCAATGTTTGGTAGCTCCACATCTTTGTCACATTGCTGATCTCTACGGCGTGTACGTTGGAAGACACGAAAGGGGGCAAGGTCCAGAATAGAAGGAAGAGAGACTTGGCAGACCTGAACCTGCTTCTCCTCTTCTACACTACTCTCCCCCTGAGGAGAAGCAGGGAAGAACGGTTCAGACTCAAAGAAGGAGACATTCATAGAGACAAAAAACTTATGACTAACGAGATCAAAGCACCGATACCATTTTTGAGAAGAGAGATACCCCAGAAAGATATAGGGAATGGACTGAGGGTCTAATTTACTATGAGGCAGAGATAAATCATGGACAAAGGCACGACAACCAAATACTCTCATGAGAGGCCATGTAGTTCAGCACTCTGGAGGGCATGTGATTGATGACATAAGCAGCTGCAAGTATAGCATCCATCCAAAACTTTTTTGGAACATTCATATGTAACATCATCCCTCGAGGTACCTCAAGGAAGTGTTTGTTTTTTCTTTCTGCAAAGATGGGGGTGCATAAGTCTGAACTTTTGTTTGGCTCAGTTGTAATTTGTATTGTAGTTTAGGTTCACACCTCGCGTCCCTATTGAGATGGCTTGTCTTGTAAATTTTGATGTATTCCCTTCTCTTTTTTAATAAAACTCTATCATTTATCAAAAAAAGAAAAAGATAATGGAAGAATAACACTCACGAGCTGTCATACTAGAAAATAATAGCTGATGCTTTTGTCATATTTGAGATGCTAAAAGTTGAAGTTGAAGAATTTGGACTGGACACTTGCAATCAGTAGAGAACAAAAAGGAACCAAGTAACCAACTATTCTATGCTAAGCATGAATCCTGAACTTATTTTTGAAGTGTCTTTCCATGTCTCTTTCCACCCCAATTCCCACTCCCCCTTTCCTGTGCATGTGAATATGAGATGTATGCTTATTTTTTAAGTGTCTTTCCATGTCTCTTTCCACCCCAATTCCCACTCCCCCTTTCCTGTGCATGTGGATATGAGATGTATGCAAACATAACCAATTATAATATTATGCTTGCCAATCTTGGAAGTAGCAATGCATTTTATCTCTTAGCATCTTTCAGCAGAAAATTTGAATTTCATATCCATGAAGTGCTCTTGTCATCCTGCTTTCTTTTTTGTTCTTTTCATTCACTTCTGAATGAAATAAATCACCAGGAAGCTGAAATAGCTCAAATAGACTACCAGATAACTATTGGGAGCATAAAAATGAGCATCATTGTGAGTTTCAATCTGATTGTAAAGCTGCATCAATACATTGAGCAGAGGCATATTATTATAATTCCTACTTGTCAGATTTCAAGGTATGATGGGCTGACTAGTACCTCGGAGGCCAAAAATACAGATTTGAATGGCACAATAAAATGAAGAGAGCACAACCTCTCTCACAGAAATCCTAAACCCCAAAACACCCAAAACCTCTCAACTTCTCTCTCAAGCCAAAAGATACATAATAGAGAAAACCCCAAACTACATAACTTATTGTGTTCATGCCGGACCCAAAAGCTGGAATTTTGCCTACAAACTACATAACTTATCGTATTCAGGTCGGACCCAAGGCACAATAAGGAATCCAAGGCGTGGGTCATGACGTGGGTCACACTTGTATTGTTGGAATTTTCTCAACTTGATCTGGAGTGGGTCATGACATGGGTCACAATAAAGAATCCAAGGCACAAACATAATAGTTGGTTTTATTAATTTCTTTTTTTTTTGGAAGCAAATAAAATCCAAAAGATCCACTTGTATTGTAAAAACTAAAAAAGGCCAGAAAATTTCTGTATAACATCTTTCATCTAATTTTCCTCTTTCATGGCAGAAAAAGAAATGCAAACAAAGTTACCTCCTCTTTCACCACCATGTGCACATTTTCATATATTTTAATGAAAATTTCCATTGTTGATTCCAGAATAAGGGGGGAAAATGATACAACAAAAACCATTGGTAAACATCCTGTTTGTATCCCCATATATCAAGTAATATATGTTCAGTCATTTTGAGACCCAGAATTCCAGAAAATGGTTGCTATATAGTTCTGTCAATTCAATAATGGACATCCATTCCAATTTCTGAGTTTCACCTTATATGGTTTTATACAGAAGGGGATCACGAACCTCTTTGTGATGATGAGATATGTTAAGTTGCTCTTAGAAATTTATGAAAAACCAAGATTTAGTCTAAAGCCTGAATTGATTGGTCAAAATTTTGAAATGAAACATTGTCATAAAGTCAGTACTATGCTTTTGAACCTTTCAACCAATGTTTGTGATTAGTATTAATTCAATCTTTCTTCATTCAATTGCATTGTCCACACTCCACAGGAAGATATTGGCAGAAGGTTGCAGAGGAACGCAGGAGAAAACCATATAGCATTACTCTTGCTGACAAAAATGCACCTAATGAAGAGGTCTGGAGGCAGGTAAGCTTTGGCACTATATGACTTTTAACATGTACCTGTTTTAATGTACACTATTTACTACATCCTTCTCCCTCTGTAAGGGTTCACTGTTGTGGACATTTTCCAATTTTGCAGATTGAGGACATGTGTCGAAGCACAAGGGCTTCTGCTGTTCCAGTGATTCCTGATTCTGAAGGTTATTATCTTGTTCCCTTGGAAGTACAAGTTCCATTTGCATTCAGTTTGTCTCTGGTGCAATAATTTACCACATCTAGCATGTCTTCTTTGCTGAGTGCTTCCTTTAAGGAAGTTATCGCCTAAAGGATTGGAATTGGAGAACCAGAATTGTGTTTCCACAATGAATAGCGATGGACATTGGCATTGATGATTATCAATTGTGCAGCAGTTTCTCATTACATTTCATAAGCATTACTTTATTGTTCAAAGTAAACCTTAAAATTGCTTTTGGAAACTTAGCCATTAGTCATCCTTGCAGACTTACAAAAATTTAGCTACTGTGCAAGGAGAAACAATTTTAGGCCCAGCTCTGGGATGACTGACTTCTTGTAATATGAACCTTGCTTGCCTTGGTTTTAGTGCAGGTCATGAAAAATTAAATTTGATAACATATTGTTATCTTTACTTGCACAAGTGCATAGCATGTGCCCTCACACTAGTAAAAGAAAACAATTTTAGGCCCAGCTATGGCCTGCATTATTCTAGAGGCAGCTCGTTCCCCAAGTTTTCTGGGGCTTGGGTACCCAATGAGCCTGTTTCATCCATGTGCATGCATCCTTGCATGCTACATAATCTACTATTTTCACTATATTATGGTGAGAGGCAAAGTTTATGCATTTTGCACTATTTGTCAGACATGATTTTGATGCTTAACTACCATTTTATCACCTTGATACTTCGATCCTTTTAGCTACCATTCTATGACCACAAAGCTTCTTCTTTTAGCAATTCTTTTCTTGCATATTTTTGTTATCATTTGTCAGTGTGTCATTCTAGTTGTACCTTACCTTTGATACTTTGATCCTTTTAGAATGCTGTCTAAACTTTCATAGTTGCTCTTACTGGGATAAGAGCATGCATCACAGTGGCCTTTTCTTACTGTTTCTCTGACATACAAGTGGAAAAACTATAGGCCACTAATCAAATAAGTTACAATTGGTACTTATAAAAAAAGTCACAATAGGTTGAGATGCCAAAATCACCTAGTTTTTGCAAAATTTGATTCAGTGTACATCCACCATTGGATAAGCTCTTTTTTTTAATCTTTTTGTTTGAAATTTACAGGAACTGATACAAATCCGTTTTCACTTGATGCATTAGCTGTTTTCATTTTCCGTGTGCTTCAGCGAGTTAATCACCCGGTATGCTTGTATTTTTTTTATTAATTCTCTTTTTAGGGTGAAGAGGATATGTGCTGTGTGGTTAAATTTAATCATCACCTCTATACAATAGTTCTTATTTTGTAATTAACTTTTTTGCAAACATAATTGCAAGTTCATATTGATGAATTGATTGAAGGATAAACCCCTATACAAAATATTAATTGGCCTCTATAGGGTGGTCAATGTTCAAAGTTTACATGTTTGCATACATCTATGCACTACTGTTAGATATAAAGATGATTCTGTTCCAGTTATCAAAGCAATTCCAAACAGGCAAGGTTACTCATGGGCCACCTTTTCCTAGGGTCATAAGCCTGTATAATGATGGGCAGGACTTGGTTAGGTTCCTCAAAACCCAATCAGGCCAGGCCAAATAGATGCTATTCATGTTATGTATTTTTAACAGTGATGTTTTATGTTTTCAAAGGAGAAGAAGAAGAGAAGAGAGAAAAAAGTGAGAGAGTCAAAAGTTCTGGCTGGCAGCGTCATGTATTCTGTTTAGGGCAAATTTCTTGAAGTACCCCTAAGTTTTAGGAAATTGACAAACCGTACTCCTGCTGTTTACATATTGTCTTAAAGTACCCCCAAGTTTTTTGACAATTGACTAAGTTCTCTCTTGCTGTTAACATCTGTTAGTGTTTCATCACAAACTGTTCACATGTGACACCACATGATGTATAGAAATTTTTTAAAACCCAATAAACCATTGGTCAGTGATTCTGTGCTTGAACAGTTTGCTTCAACCACATCGTTGATAAATGGTTTTGTGTTTCAATATGTTGCCGATATCTTGCATGGATAGAGCAAATTTGCTTGATAATAATACCTTTTCCAATACTTTATTGCAAACTTAGGGGTACTTTAAAGCGTAGAAGGTATACTTTAATCATTTTCTCAGTGCTTTTCACTGTTTGCAATAAAGTATTATTATAGATGAGTGTACTTTGGGTTACTGATAATAACCTGGTTGTTGCCATTATGGCCTCCATTGCTTTAGGTGAACAGTTCTACTTGGGAGGGTGGGTATTCTTCAGAAATTTCCACAGTTCTAGTTCTACCCCACTTTCTTTCTTTCTTGTTTTTGTGGAACAACTTCTCAGGCCACCCAGATGGCTGACATTCAGGTATCACCGGCCAGATGGTGGCTGCTAGAAATCTACTCCATGGATGGTTAAGAAGAGGGTATTGGGTTAGCTCTCTCCATTGCTTGAATGGAAAAAGAAATGCCTGAGTTACTAGACAATGTGAATCCTCATTTAGATCATGAGACAACCAAATGGATTTTTGCAGTTTTCTAGGAATTGCAGGGAAGGACGGACTCTTTGGTTTAATTGGAGGATTTGTAGTGGGGCAATGCTTATGTTCAGAGTGGGCTCCAAACAGTGTCAATTTAAACTAATAAAAGGTAAAAGGAATTCCAGAAGGGTGGATGGGTTGCCAGTAGTGGGAAGGTTGTTCTTGTTTTTGGGGTTTTCTCCTTTGAGAATACGGGAAAGAGCAACAAGGTGTTATTCAAATGATTCATTTTGAACATTTAAAGAAGACTGATGGGCAAAATATGTTCCTTCTTTCTATTAACGAATGTTAGCAACAAGGGAGGATTGGTCAATTGTCAGAAACTTAGGGATACTTTAAGACCATATGTAAACAGTAGGGGTAGAGTTTGTCAATTTCCTAAACCACCATATCTCTAAGACCTAATTGCCAGTAATAACTCTTGACAGTGTAGCCGGCCAAAGATAAGTGGAAGAGGAGAGAAGAGAAGAGAAGAAGAAGAGAAGAGGAGAGGAGAGAAGAGAGAAGGTTTGCAATGTAACAGTACTGGCGGCGCCAATGTTTATTTTACTATATATAGGGCGACAGAAATAACAAGGGAAAAGACCCTTGTGCCCCTGAGTACAATAACAGACATAACAGAAATAAAAAAAAAAACACTTTAATTAGCCAAACAGGCCCTAACATCTGCAACTAAGTTATTTTAACAT